TAATTTTTCATCATCATCAAACAACAAAACTCAAAAAAAAAAAAATTTATTTTTTGCCCCTAGGTTCCACCGAACCCAAGTGTACTTGGTTCCAAGGGGAAAGAGAAGGGGAAGGGGAAGGGGAAGGGGAAGGGGAAGGAGAAAGAGAAAGGGAAAGAGAAGGAAATAGAAAAAAAAAAAATTTTAAGTCTTATTTTTCATAATACTATTTTTTTATATTATTATTTTTCCATGTCATCACTTTTTTTTGTCATATTGTGTTCCATGTATATTAATATTTGACATGTCATCTTGTAGTAGTGAAGTAACAAGCCACGTCACAAGATTTTTAACGGAATGACCAAATTTAGGTAAAAATGGTAAACAGTAAGGACCAAATCAAGGATTTTTAAGTTTAGGGACTAAATCGAGGGTCCGTACAATAGTTCAAGGACCAAAATGAGGTTTTAACCAAAAAATTGTTTGCATTTTCTGTTCTTTTTTTTTTTTTCATTTTAGGCTTGAATATCCTCATACTGCAGAAACAGAGGAGTTTGTGCGGAAGCAGGATGAATTGTGTAAATCAGTGCTTAAAAAATATAATACTCGTGAGCAAATTCGTGAGAAAGTTACAGAGCTCTTTCATCAGCTCTATGATCATCAATATTATTGGCCTCTGGATAAACAAGGCAACAAGTATTTCTACCATCCTAGCTCTGGACACCGAGCACCACGCAATATAAATGTGCAGGTTAGTTTGGAAAAAAATACGAAAATTATATGTTAACTAATGGTCTTTTAGGCCTGTTTGGTGTGGATTGTGGGAAGGGCTTTTTGGCTCTAAAAGCACAAGTCACACCAAACGGGATAGCTTTTCAAAGTGGCTGCAGTTTTTGAGAAGCTCAACTTCTCACTTTTCCTTTGCAAAGCTAGAAGCTCCCAATTTTTACTTTCGCGGGAGTTTCTCGCTTAAACGTTTAGAGTTTGTTTGGTGTGACTGGAGCTTTTAATGGAAGTTCTGTTTGAAAGAATCTGTTGTAGAAGAGTTGTTTTTGAGAAGTTAGAAGTGTTTGATAAAATTTTTTATAAAAGTACTTGTAGAGTAAAAAGTTGTTTGGTAAATTTTTTTATAAAAGATCTTTTAATGCTAAAATAACTGAAATAGACATTATTTAATTTTTATCACTTTCACTTTATTTTTTTTATATTTTTATATGATTTTAAATTTATAATTAGTTTAAAATTAATAATTAAGAATTAATTATTCAAAT